TAGTTTCTTAATTTATGGCATTGGATTTAAACTGTATCCTGTTTGATTCTTTGATTTTTAAATATTTAGTACATATCCTCTATAAAATGTCAACAGTGCCATAAAAAGCATGAACAAAACACACTAATTGAACGACAGCTGCAAAAAAAACCCAACTCATATATGGTACTGTTATTAATAATAAAAGGTTTTAAAATAAATAGAGCGAAACACAAGTAATGAAAACCTTTCTCAATCTTTGACACCACAGCACATATCTTTTTACCACATCAAACTGTATTTGTAAATTTCATAATGTGCACTTATGTCTTCTGTTTTTGGTTTATTGTAACTTGCTTGTATCACTCTTTCCCAAAGCCCACTAAAAAGTAAAGTCAATGTATCAGCCTGTATCAGGATACTGGCTATAACTAGATGAGCATCTGTGCCACAGCCAGCAGGGTAAGTGAGAAGAATGCCAATGAGGCCATTGTGTGCTGAGGAGCACTCTTTGATGTAGACTCTGAAATATGAGAAAAAGCAAAAGCACTGGTCAGACAAAAAGCTCTGGATTCAATGTAATATCATAAGTTTAAAATGAGGGGGTCAAACAGAAGTCTTATTCCAACCTTTACTTTCCTTTCATTTATTACAAGACCATTATGACATAAACACAGATTTAATTATTTAATAGATGAATAAACAGAAATTTTAAGTTCATAATGTTTGACCTTTCAGATGTAACCAACAACTTACGTGCAGAAACGCTGCCCGGTATAACATCCAGAGATGTAGAGCTGGCAAGTTCAGTGCTGAATTGTGAAGTTGCATYGCTAACTGAGGGAACGGAGTCTTGATTGTTGAAGACAAGAGTTGATTTGACAATCACTGATCCGTCACTGCAATAAGACAGAAATGACGCTTTATGAAAGCAAATGAGCAGCACATGTCTTGCAGAAATAAATCAATGACTAAGATTTAGTCTTACCTGAATGAATTAATCAGGGAGCGGCGGTAAGATGATCCATACAACTTTTTCCCCGCTTCATTTAGCTGAAAGAAAAAAATGTCATCAATTGCAAATAAATAAAAAACACATGGCCACTAGCACTGACGAACAGCTCAACATAAAATACACAGATTTCTTGATAGCCCTTGAAGAAGGGSTGCTGCAAAGGTATGAGCTGTTCCAGCATGTAGACTCAATATAAGTTTAGGTGACGGCAACAAATTGCATTAAAAAAGAAAAGAATAATTACTCCCTTAAGATATAATTAAAAAGTTACTGAATGACATGTGAATCTTGTAAATGTATGTATTTCTTAAAATGATGATTGATGGACATTCAAATAAGATGAACGGAACTTCAAGCTTACCGTAGTTGACAATATTGCCCAAACCGTTTTTGTTCTCTGCCTTC